AGGAGGGGGTGAGGGAGGAGGGGGTGAGGGAGGAGGGGGTGAGGGAGGAGGGGGTGAGGGAGGAGGGGGTGAGGGAGGAGGGGGTGAGGGAGGAGGGGGTGAGGGAGGAGGGGGTGAGGGAGGAGGGGGAATCGGGACGGGAACGGAATCTCCGAGCTCTAATTGGCTCACAGAGAGGGAGAGAGGGAGAGAGGGAAAGCGCGGACAGGACGACTCGCGCGCGCGGGCATCTTGAGACGTCTCATTTGCGACTTGTACGGTGTGTCGTACCTGGTAGTGAGTGTACCTCCTTGCCGCATCCTCCACGTCCAGCAGTTTGAGCTCCAGCCCCGCCAACACATCCAGCATGTCCTGATCAGGACATTATCACCACCAGCATCAGGACATCATAATATTGGGGGCCAGAGGTGCGTGTATGTGTGTATGTATGTGTGTATGTGTGTGTATTTGGGGCCTTGGGGGTGAGGTAAGGTAGGCACAGGACACGGCACGTGTACGTTGCGTGTTTCACGGGCACGTGTGGGCACGTAACCTTCAGCTCGTCCAATCCGGAAGGGACGAGGGAGGGGGTGTTCTGTGAGTCTGTGAGTCTGTCTGTAATTCGCGTTACCCCCTCACTTCCCCGGCGGCCATTCAGCCACCTGGGCGCCGCCGTACAGTGTGTGTGTGTGCCAGAAGTGACCCCGCCTAAGATTGTCAATGCTCCACTGTACGGCCGGAACAGGTCTTCCCGTACACAACCCTGTACAGCGTGTACGACACTAGTACCGCCGTACCATGACTTCGGCCTCCGGATCTGCTAGCGACGGCGCGGTGATGTCGGACAGCAGCAGCATGATGGCGGTGGTGAGATCCTGTAATGGCGTGTGTGTAGGGGGGGTGTAGGGGGGAGGGGGGAGGGGGGAGGGGGGAGGGGGAAGACGAACCACGAACGAGTGAAGCTGCCGCCAAGGAAAGAGTGTACAAGAAGAAGAAGGGGGGAGAGGGAGAGGGGGCATGTACGGCACAAGCCGCTCAGACACCAGCTCCTGATGGCTAAGACCATAAGGTCATGGGAGACTGGAGCACCAGTCTCCAGGGGGGGGCAGTGCAGCAACCAGTCCCCCTTTCAACGTGCTGTCCTGTCTGGGTTCATACCTGGTCTGTCTGTCTGTCTTTGTGTCTGTCTGTCTGTATATAAAGACAGCATGAGAAGCAATGCCCCATTGTCCCCGCTGGCTACATACTAACCTGTACGGCACCGGCCAGCTCCGTAACCATGGCGGGAAGCCGCTCCCGTACCCAAGCGACCAAACTGCCGAGTTGGGCTCGGACCTGTACGTGGGGGGGAGGTGGAGGTGGAGGAGTGTGCGTGTACATGTGTGTTTATGTGTGTGTATGTGTCTGTATGTGTATGTATGTGTGTGTATGTGTATATGTTGGGGGGGTTGGTTGAAATGTATGTGTGTGTATGGAGCCGTACGATAGCGGACAGCAGGCATACACTTTCCCCTTGTTCACACGCACACCTGCACCCCCGTCTCTTGAAGAGTCTCCAGCGCCACGGCATCCTTGACGTCGTGCTTGCCGCCGTAATCGCGGTACATGTCGTACATGTCACTCGCGGCACCCGCTACCTGAGGATATGGGCCGCCGGTTCCCCCGGGGAAGTGGGGGGCGTGGGGGGGGGAGGTAACCATACACACACAATGGCGGGAAAGTACGAAGAAAATATATGAAGTTTGGCAGTGATGATGCGTCCTTAATGATTTCAGTCTCGTTGTATTAAGCACACCTACATACACACATACAAAGACGTACTGACACGTACACACATATATACTTATGTATGTGCGTATGTATGTATACACACACGCACGGCTCCTCCCTCCCACCTTGAACACCATGTCCTGATCGGCCAGCAGGTTGGCGAGAAGCTCCTTCATCGCCGCATAACTGTTAAAGAACAGTGTCGTACAGAAAGGGAATGTGTGACACACAGAATGGGAATGTACGGCATGTAAGGCGTCTTCAAGACTCCCAACCGGACCCCCAAACTGGCGTAGCACAGCCCGAACCCAAAATCATGACTCCCAAAACACCTACTTACATACGTATACACATACATACGTACATACACACACAAATGATCTTCATTTATGTCTCCAACATGGGCCATGTTTCATACATACATTCATACACACACAGTCTACCCACCCCCATGAACCTGCCCCACCCCATGAACCTGCCCCACCCCCATGAACTTGCCCCCCCCCTTCCCCCTCCACCCCCTCCACCCCCTCCACCCCCTCCACCCCCTCCACCCCCCCACCCNT